CACTTGCTAGTTTCCTCATTTTCATTTTGAGAAAAACCGGAACTTTGTATTCTTATTAATTCTTGATTTTCATTTTCACTAACATTCTTTTTTACCTCTGTTTCTTCATAAGTTTTTCGCAAAACTTTCAATTTATTATCTTTTTTTGTTGCTCGGCTTTGGCTAACTTCCAACTCACTTTCTATAACTGCGTTTTGCCTTTCTAAATCAAAATTCTCATCTTCTAGTAATTTTTTTTCTACCTTTCAATCACTCTTCTCATTTTTAAACAACTTTTCCTTATCAACCGCTATTTCTTGACAATCACAATCATTTAGTAACGTTCCTATTTCATTACAAAATTCTAAGAAATAATTATCAGGAATATAAGGAAAATCATAAGTTTTGTAAGTAGCGATTGGCTGATAATCGGTGTGGCCACCAGAAAAAAATGACCCCTCCCTTCTACCTATAACTTCTATTCTCGCTCCAATGTCCTCTTTATTAACAATAGAACCCAGTTTTTTATAAATTGAGGAATCGTAATCCCCAACTTTGCTAATAAAATCGTTTATCTTTTTCGTTATTTGTTCAATATGCTGACATGTCATAATTCCAATTTTTATTTTTACTATATATTATATACTATTTTTTTCTTATTAGAAAAATTTGGTGGATAATTTGTATTTTCCAAAAACGCTCAAAACAAGATTCGCTTCACTGCTTCGTAAATTTCTCTCTAATCTTTTATATTATATTCCTTACGCGGGCGAGAGCGAAAACTCCAGGCAAATATTTATTTAATTACTTAGTAATTAAGGGGTGAGAAAAGAAACGAAAAAAGTCCTTATTCCCCTCCTCGCTCGCTTTCAGAATTATAAAATAAAAAATATACGAGATAGTTTTCATTCCGTAATCCTCATTTGACGAGTCAACATTCACTGGGTGTCCTCCTGTCGGCTCACAAAGTCCGATAGCGTTTGTTGTGGTGGTTGCACACAAACAAAGGCATTTTAAATACAGTGTTTCCCTGGGTTCTAGTTAGTTTGCAACTGAACTAATTTCTAACGAACCCAGCATGAGTGTTGTATTAACTCTCTCGCTATTCCAAAATTTTTTTGGAGTAGTGGGAAATAATGAGAAAAATTTCCCAAGAAAGGAAACAAAAAACTCTGTTTTTTCCTTTGTTCGAAAATTAATGTTCTCTCGCTTTTTCATTCACACGCTAAGTCAAAAAAAGCCAAAAAAATGCCCTGTTCTCTCGTTTCTAAATTAAATATTGGCTGCGAAAATTTTTTGCTGTAATAAGCATCAAAGCAAACTGCTTCTGGTTTTGATAGCTTACTTCACCAGTTAGGCGTTATTTTTGTTTCTTTGGAATGATTGCCTATTACCATTTTGCTAGTTGAATATTCAAGAAGCCTAATAGGCTACTTGGTAGGTAATAGGCATTTTCCAACACCTTTCACCTACGAGGCTTTTTCAATAAACAACTATATTATAATTTTACCATTTGCAACTTCCCAACAGTTATTTAAAAATACGGTGAGGGTAAAGTAAAAAGGTTCTTGACTAGGAACGGGCGAGACGAGGCGAGACATAAATAGCGGCTGACTGCCATGAAGGCCTTGGTAATTTAAACCTAAAAAATTCTTATACAAATTGTGCTAGATAAAAACAAAGACCAAAAAGAAGTAATTACCTATTATCTTCATCCATTAACTGGTTCAGTTGTAATTAACGATCGGCTTGTTAAGTATCTCGGTATTAGTTCTCATTGCGATAAACATTTTGAACAGGGTATTACTCGAGAATTAATTATAGAGTTGGTTGAGTTACTAGATGGTCGGTATTTCCCACCCAGTGGTAAACAAGAGAAACAAAAAAATTATTTTAAAGGTTACCCCGAAAAAGCTGGTAAAAGGTATAAATTAGTTTGATGGTGGTGAAGAGAAGAGGATACTTATTTATGAGTACGAACTTGCCATGTGGATTAGGAAGTAAAACTAATTAAATCGCTATGAAGTTTGGTAAAAAGGAAGAACAAATTATTAAAATGTCGCTAGATCCTCAAGAAGAGGAAATTTTTCACTGAGTAGAGAGCGATGAATGTTTGGGAAGCTGAATACTGAGCGAAAACGCTAGTGTTAACGAAAAAACCAAATATCAATTTAGTCAAGTAATTACTCGTTATTTGGTTAAAAATAATCTTTCGGAAGCTGAAATGGCTCATCGGCTCGGCTTAGATAAAAGTGCCACTGCTAAATTACTCCGTGGTTATATGGAAAATTTTTCCTTGGATAGTTTGATTACTTATGTAGATAAATTACATTTGCCTTTACAAATAAAAATTACTGAAGAGGGCAAGTTGATAGATAAGCGTTTTAAATAATTTTCATGTCCGTTTTCTTTACCAAAAATTCCCCAAATAAACCCGCAAACTTTCCTCAATAATCGCGGTCCGGTGATGATAAGGCAGCGAGTAATAAAAA